TCATTCACATGATGGATGACGTTTTGGGAATATGGTTTTTTACCCATGCATTGTCATTTCTTAGACTGACATGTTGCTTATTAGACTTATTGAGAGGGAGGTATGTCGAAGTCTGGAGTGGGACTCTAGGCTTTGTCGTCTTTCTTGCAGTTTCTACTGCGGGACTCTCGGGCTTGCATCCAGATTGAGTATGGTCTGCCAGTGGTTTCTGGTCAGCCATAGTTTGTGAGTCAATATCAACCTCATGTATGTCAGCAGGTTTTCCAGATGTGCTCTCATGTACTTTAAGATTGCACCCAGTGACACTGCTCTTACTGAGTTTCGAGTCGCTTTTACTTGCCGGTTCTTTTCCCAACACTAGACGGGTGACTTGCTGTGCTTCAGTGTCCGTCGACACTTTAGCACTGATACCAGGTGTAGATCTCGGTGGTCGCCGTATCATTAAAAAAGAAGTTCTTGGTTGCTTGCCTTTGGTTAGTTGTTTTATCCGAGACTACTTTAATAGTCTTGAATTTAGTGGCAGTAGCCAGAAGATCTTCGGCCTTCTTAAATCGTTCAGCTATTATGTGGCTGTCGAACCTAAATAGTATGGGACATGGATGCTTTAGGTCTTCTTTACTTAGGCAAATGCACTGACAAGGTGCACTCATGAGATTTGCAGCCTTCAACAATGAGTGCTGGACCGACTTTATGGGCTCGCTATCTGGTACATTATACACTATAGCGTTTTGTTTCGAAGCCAGCCTTTTAACAACTTCGCTGGATAGAAAGTCAATGGTGTTTTCTAACTCCTTCGCATTTTCTGAGTCAGTATGCGTCATTCTAGAGGTCATATTAAAAAGCTTTAGGATTGTAGGATCCTGCAGTTCCTTTTTCATAAGTGAGATAGTTTCGGGTATACATTCTAATGAACTTAACTTCGTTTTTAATTCATTTATCTACAGCTGCATCTCTTTAACCAATATGCTAAGAGTGTGCCGCGGTCAGGCCACATGACGCGGGCACCAACATGACTAGTCAGGAAATGAGAATTCCTATGAATCCAGAAAACAATTAGCACAATTGTATTAAAAATTGTTGAAAAAAATTTATCGAACGAAATTTGAACCAACATGTAGCATAAGTTCAGCCACTTTAACACGATATTTCAAGTTTGGTTTGAAGAAAGTGCCATACTAGTTCCCTCTCATCCCAGCTTCAAAAAAATGATGTGATGATATGAAGAAAAAACAAACAGCATACTTCCCTTGAATTACTTGTGTTAGGACTGATTCTTCAGCTTCTCAAATCTCCATCATACTCCGAACACTTTGCAATGCTTCTGAGTCAATATAACTATATTCGCCTCATTGGAAGCCCTCTGGTTGCATTACAAACTGGTGAAAATATTATCCATGATTACAACTGGAGGGAAAGTGAACGTTTTGCATAAAAATGTCGTTCCAAGTAATAATTGTGTGTTGGTAGCATCGTGCAGTATTTGTGTATTCAAACAACTCATTGCACCACTTAACCAAACTCTAATAGAATGGACATTCAGGATGTTCAAGTAGCTAGGTAATTAAACCCTGGTGAGACTTTTCGGCTCACCAGCCGGACCCAAAGAAAGGTGAGTCAGAGTAAAAGGGAACCTAGACCGGAAAACCGACTCAAAACGTTTCACTACCTTAAATACACACTACAACACAATTTAGTAATTTGCTGCACATGAACTACTCAAACAAAGTCGTTATCGGGTAGGTGAGGAAATCTAAGGAGCACGTCATTTTGTTGTTTCGTCATTCATTTTAGTTTTGGTGAACTCCTCGCTGCCTACCATTATTCCGAAATTCCATTATGCGCGCTTGTGCAACGATTATTCTCAGAATTACCTCAGAAGCATGTAGAGGTTGAGAAAATAAGGTTATCAAACTGTGCCAGAAATATTAACCCACATAGTCCCAAGCTAATATTACAGACTTCCAGTAATTCTTACCATCTTAACTCATTATTGATTGTATTAATGTTGACATTTATGATGTCACATCACACCGTATTTACCAGTTTGAATGTATGTGTGACCACACATCAGTAGGGAAGACTCATCGATCACTGCAATTAATGGCCTCGGAGCATGTTCGAAAATGGCTTCAGAAGCACATGGCAACCCCAGAACCTATTATTGATGAGAACAGGAGGCCTAACTCCTCTGTCACGAAACATATTGTAGAGACAGGACATAAAATTGGCATGTATATATTTTTTGAACGGATCTATAAAACGTGTTTGGGGTGTATCTTAAAGTCTGTGGAAGCCATAGCTATTTTTTTCCTTCACGTTACCCAGCGGAACATAGGGCTTCAAGCTATGCCACTATGCCGCCGACACACTTAATCCGGAAGTTTAAACCACCTTTATGCGTCTAAGGCAACAGTTCGTCATCAAACTAAACCTTCCTCGGTAAACCTTGTTTCAATACCATAACAGATGTACTATTGTGGTGAGAGCTGTCTGCTAGCCGAAATTGCAAACAACAATTCGCATCATTTTTTACGTCCCAAATCGGGTTCATGTGAAAAGACAGGTACAAAGCCTAACCATAAGGAACTCAACAACCACTCACATCAGACTTAGCGTGTGCAAATACGATTCGCAGATATTTGGTCTGACCCTCAAAGAAACGGCCACAAAGAGACGACTGCATAACTTTCAGTGGGAAAACAACCAGTCGGAAGACGTTCCTTGTCTGCTAGCAGTAACAAATAATAATGTACATAAAAGTCTGTGAATATTTATTGATTTTCTCAATAAACGATCTGTTGCCTGCCCCTTGTCTTCTATCGTCGCACTATTACTTTTGTTATCTGGCTTAGTGATCCTCATTGTTATTTTTACCTTCAATATGTACTTTTAAATTGACCTAAATCTATTTTCTCACCTCTTAACTCTTTATTAATTTCATATATATTCCAATGACAAGTTCGTGTGTGATCAGACTGTTACAAATATGCTGCGCAAATAAACTACACGATTCAGACAAATTACCTCCAGTGGATCTGTATTTACTACTTAGGGAAAGCTTGTTGCTAGAGTATTCTGTCCTAGTTCATTCTCCACCTCTCTACATTTTGGGGTGTTTGACATGGTGATGCACCCTCCCTATGCAAGTATAGCCAAGTGGGTACTGGCATTCTGAAGGAAACAAGTTTAACAAAAATATGGCACAGGCCTTTAGTCCACATGAGTACTTTGGAAAGAAAATCTTAAAAAGTTTCTTTTCGGAGCCTGCATTATCTCATCACGCGGTAGAGAGCTTCAAAGAAAGTCGTCATGTTAATTTGGTCATGTTAAATAACTCTTCAATCATCTGTTACTGCGTTTAAATTACTCAGGTCAGAGAGGTGTGTGGTCCACTAATTTTCGGAGAACGGCAACTTTCAACCAGCCAGTAGGATATGTGTATAAAATATCGTGATTCCTTTAGCTAGCGACGTACTGGTGGGAGCCCTCTACTTCACATTAAGGCTCACGTAGGGTAAGTGGTCAATTAACAGTTGATAGCATAATTTGCAAATGACCGATGGGCAACAAGCGCTTAAGCTAGCATATGTAAATGGCATCCAAAAGCTTGCTCGAAATTCTTGTTCATCCTGCATTTTCTGGAGACTTAAAAATTGATTGACGTATGAAAACATTTATAGTTCTTCAGGACATACGCACTGCAGATGAATAACCACCATAACAAATATTAGTTATTAATATCAGCAAACTCTGTTTCCTACTGTTTATTATTTTCGAATTCCGTGTCAGACTGCATTTTCAGTTGCTCCATAAGTCCGCTTTCTTTCTGCTTAAGAGTGACAGCTGCATAATTCATGAGTCACAGGAGGTAATAAACTGTTATGTTGCTTAACTTTGGAAGAATATGGAAGTTGCTCGGGACATCTTATTTCACATGTATTGCTATTGTACAACATTTTGTGCAGGCAACAGATCGACCATGGTGTGAGAGCCTACTGGCTAAAAGCTGGAGACTTGGTTTTAACAAACTCAGCTCAGCCTACAGATAGCCTAGGAGTGGTTTCTCGCCTTTAAAATATTACCATTATTGGATTGCGATAACATTGGCGATGGTATCAGATATTTTAGCACAATCCTTCTTAAACAGACTGCACAAACATACAATCTTTAACAATCAACGTAATTGATGTTTGTGCTTATTCAGATTTTATACTTCACAGCAGTACTGTTTCTCCTTGGCTTTTGAATCCCCCTGCTATATTCTCTAAGGTGTTCCAACCTAGTTGGAGGGAGAAGATCGAATAGATCAGGTTCGAAGCCATCATTAAACATTTTAAACATGGTAATTAGATCCCTCTGCTCGTAGTATTATAAAGAGAAGGGATTTAAACTGTTTTCTTTCCCCGTATGATAAATTAGTCATGCCTGGAATCATACGTGTCGCCTTCCTATGAACCACTTCTAGGATATGTGAGTTCCCTTTAAGACAAGAACTGGCTAGATATGATGGAGATGTTTGGCTCAGGTGGATGATTTTGATGTGCTTGTGTTCTCTGAGCTGCCTGGATAGTTTTCCAGCATATGCAGAAGTGAAAATATCTCTGGGCTGTGCAAGTCATACATAAGGATTTGAAACAATGTGCAGCCACTGCGCAACAGTGTGCTGCAGTTTTGAATCGTGACACTATGACATCTAAATCCAAATGAGTCTGATCTGATGGAAGTGTTATCTCCTCTAGTTTGTGAGGGCTGATGCTTGAGTGTCCGATGCACATGGTTGCACATTTTGCTAAATTTATTGGGCGAATCCATTCTTTGGGTCACTCTCGCAATTTGTTGACGTCTTGCACTGTCACCCTTCAGCTCTCTCCAAATTTTTAAGTCAGTTGTGAAAACTTATGTCTAAAATCGACTGAATTTGCAAATTCGCCTTCGATGAACTTTCGGTTGGCTCCTAGAAACTAAGTATTAGAATGGTAAAAGTAGCCACATACTGAAACCTTGAATTGTAGGCGCACACTGCGAGTATCAGCTGATAGGTCCGGATGAGCTCCTGGGCAGGTACGGTCAAATCCTGACTCCTGTCATGCGTCCTGATAATTATTTTCTATTTTAGTTACCCGTAGGGATGAGGCAGAAGAATTGGACTATGGATCGATGCATCTTAACGAAACTCCTACCCTATATGCAAGTTTTGAATTTCGCATTTTGTCACTGTTTAATTCGGCTGTACATTTTTACGAAGTAGCATGAGATCTCATAGTAGTCTTTTAGAGTGCTCTGATTTCGACATATATGAGTCTGTAGATTGTTTTAGGAGTCCCTTAATCATATGAATCGTCTTCTCTTTTATCATTCGTAATACGTCTGAATGCCGTTAGCTCCTGCGTTTTTGTTGTTATCATGTGCAAATAATGCATCAGGGTAAATTGCCGCATGGTTTATCAACGTATTCATTTGCACAACGTGTAATAATTGGATAAACCATATTGCAGAATAGGACAGGTAGAGAAAAATGTATTGAAAATTCAGTAAATGAAAAATGCAGAAGAAAGAATGACTACTTAGCGATAAATGAAGACTTTCCAAACGCTGAAGGCACAGATGAGTGGATGCTTGTACTCTACGCCAACAAAATTCTTCAACTGTTTATTCTCAACATCAGATAACCACTTCCTTATTGACTCAAGCCAACAATCAACGTCTTCATGGATGGGTGCAATTGTTTTTCTAATGCAGTTACATATCAGCTGTTCGAGGAAAATGATAACGTCACTTGCGTGGGAGCTATTTCAAATGATGGCTATAATGTCTAATTTTAGAGTCAAATTTCCATATTAGTTTGTTTATTAGATGTATCACACAGTGAAACAGCATTATTTACTGGATGACGTTTCGAACAAAATTTATTTCGGTTCACAATCATATCATATCTAATGTAACAGGGTGGAGGGAGAGATTGATAACAGAAGCTGTGTTTATCGAATCAAGTGAGGCAGAATACGTGTAATAGGAGTGATTCAACATCTGTCCCAGATATCTGGAAAATTCTACTAGCCCAACGACGATAAATAGGAGAGAACAAAGAAAACTATGAAATTCAAGTTTCGAAGTCGTGTGATTATAATTGATGATATGATTATGAATAATAAATTTTGTTCGAAACATTTTCTTCCAGTAAATAATGCTGTTTTTTCACTGTGTGATATATCTAATAAACAAGCTAATAAGGAATTACTTGCTACCACAATGCCCAAGTTTTACACATATATTAGTGTGGAAATATGGTATAGGGGAATGATAAAATATCATATTCTTTAAATATAGCACGAATTAAAATGAATACCAAGTGTTTGTAACATTCCCTTCTATATGTGAAATATATCTGTTTATATCAGTGATCCACAACGGAAAACTCAGCGAGGCGTTCGAAGTGCATACAGGAGTAAGACAAGGCTGCCTATTATCACCAATGATATTCTTAATTGTGGTGGAATAGATTATGTATCAGAGTGTCGGGGCGAGGAGTCAGTAATACGCTGGACGACTGATAAGAAGACCCTGGAAGATTTGGATTTCGCAGATAATATATTTCTAATGTCACAAACTCGAAGACTTGCAAGCGAACACCAACAAAATGTCTGAAGAGGCATCGAAAACAGGACTGCAGTTGAACACAAAGACGGAGGTGATAAAATAACCAACCAACAGCAACAAAAAAACAACCAGCACCCATCACCTTCAACGGGAGGGATTTAACGGAGGTTGCCTCCTTCCCTTATTTGGAAGCATCGTTTCAACTACAGGAATTCGGAACGGACGATGTCAAAGTCAGAATCGGAAAGGCAAGATACGCATGCCTTCATCAACCTGAAACCAGTTTGGAGATCTTCCGCACTCAGCATAATGATCAAGATTCTCATTTTCAACACCAATGCGAAGTCGGTCAGTTCTTCTATACGGGTCAGAAACTTGCACTGTGTGTCACGAAAAGGTTTTCCAGCAGACTGCAGACTTTCATCAACAGCTGCCTTCGCTCCATACTGAAGATCCAGTGGCCAGAAAGAATAAGCAACAAGAAACTATGGGAACAAACCAACCAAGAACCAATCGCTCAACAAATATGTATGAGAAAGTGGAGATGGATCGAGCATACATTGAGGAGGTCGTCGAATGAAATCGCACGCCAAGCCCTCGAGTGGAATCCCTTTGGGGAGCGACGAGTTGGTCGTCCTAGGGTGACATGGAGGGTTTCGTGTGAGGAAGAGATGAGAGTTTGGTCAATCGTGGACCCACGTGAAGAAGACGGCAGAAAACAGAACAAAGTGGAGATGTGTTGTTGAAGCCCTATGTTCCGTCTGGAACGCAAGTGTTAATAATAATAATACAGTTGATATCAAGATCTCTATATTTAATGGTTCACTTTAAACCTATCAAACTCTACGTAAGATCTATGGTACGATGTGTTGCTTTCAAGAATTTCATGGTAAACTAACCAGTTCTTATATGCTGCATTTTCATGCAGCTCTCTATCTGTTGTAAGCGCTAGATGCACTTCAGGTAGTCTTTCAGGCTGTGCGTACAATCAGTGACTTCCTCTTATGTAGTTCGAGCTTTTATTCTCAAAGAATTAAAGCGGGCTAAACAGATATCCCAGTATGAGGGACCCCAAGCATCAAGATTAGTTCTGTGATTTTTCTAGAAACACATCTTCCCCTCGCAAATTAGAATTTCGCATGTAGTAAGAATTTTCCGGAACGTTTACTCTGGAAATTAGTGTTGTACAATAGTTACTCGAATAATAACTCCGTTATGTGAAACAACCAAGTGGTGAAAGCTCTCTTATAATAGAGAAGATATTTATCTCAGAATAAAGATGAAAACCGTTTGGTGTTATCCATCTTTTTATTTCTTGTCGTAAATTTTCAATCACCATTGTTGGTTTCACTATCAATGCTAAGTAAAAAAAGAAGACTATTGTATACTTAAATAGGTACACTTTTTGTCTTTTTTATTTTGACAGTCGGAAATAGAAAAGAGATATTCACCCCAAATCAGTCTTTTGACCTTGTGTCAGACTAAGAAGTGTCCCTGTTGTAGCACGTGTTCCTTTATGCTGTCAAAATTCTTGAATAGTCTGTTCGAACTCATGTAGCTGTGTGAGTGCTTATGATAAGTCGGTGTCTGAGGGGATCATGATCAGTGTTGTCCTCGAGGGATGTCCAATGTCACAAATCCTACTCAATTTCATGATTGTTATACTGTTGGAGATGGCCCTGACTGTCGATGTTTCAGAAATTTAGTCTTATTGATTTAAAGCATGCAGATGGTATGTTCCTCTTAGTTGAAGACTGAAAAAACGCTTAGTCTACTGGACACCTTAAGCAATAGTAGTAATATGTTCCGGTATTCACCCCTGTCAAATATCCGATAGTTCTACAGCACTAGTTTACACTGACTCGTAGTTTAAGGATGAGGGTAAAATAGTTGAATGTATTGATCATCGACACCAGCCGTAATGAACTGATTGCTGGCTGGAGGGTTCTTTTTTCGTTCGGTAATTTACTTCGTCTTTAGAGCAGGTGTTATATTTGGTTATCGGTCGAAGGACGTGTGTATTGTACAGCACTTCTAAAAACCCTCGGTAATTTTCATATAAATTATCATGTCTTATAAATCTGTGTCCATTGCTTTTTCATTAAATTGCTTTAGTCTCTCTGTTTCTGTGCTTTTATGAAGTTCTGTTCCGATAGGCCAGTCAGTCAGTCAGTGGTCGGTCGGTTTTCGACATGGAGCTTTGCACATATGTGCGGCAGTTCAAGTCGCCACACTCCAGTCAGTCAGTGGATTCATTCAGGCTGAAATATTCGTGTGGTTGCTGTTCTAAATCTTGTGGTGATGTAGTGGTATGACTGTGCTAAATTCCTACTGCACTACACTGACCATATGAATTAATACACACTCCTTTCTTAGCCATTCTTTAGCACTATCCGAAAATCATATCATTGGCAGGTTCACCGAAGATTAATTTTTCAGTAGTATTTATTTCGCCTAAAACGTAAGCTGCTTTATCACGAAATTGATAATCCTGTGCATCTCAGTTGTGAACATCGGCTTGTTTTTCCCTTAGACAATCGATATTTGTATACTCTGCCTGTAACTACAATAGACCACATTTCTAAGCGAATTTAGTGTTCTTACTTTCGCTTATTCTTACTTCCCACCATTCTATGTACAAATCATTATTTTAGTTGTGTTGATACAGGGGATGCTCATTTTTCATATGTTAAGGTTGCATAACTGTCTAGATGAAGATAGGGACTTAAATACCCACGAAAATTAGCAGAATACAGGTTATACTTACCTGAATTACTACCATTTTGTTATTTAGCATAAATAAACGGTAGGAGTAGTTTTGTTTTATTTATTTATTTATCGTACTGTTTCAGCGTGTGATGTCTGGATCATCCAGCTGTTCTGCTCAGGCTATAGCAGCTCGATGGCTTGAAAGGAGTTTCGAGTTGAACAATCTGTCTTTGACAGACTATCAACGACGTGCTCGAGAACTCCGACGTTCAGTCCGTCAAGGTTTTGATTCAGCAGCAACATGTACAGACGGTGAGTTTCTACAGTTCAGTAAATGAATGCATATATATTATTGTTTATAATTTTTCGGCTACCTGTACCACTTTTTTTTCAAACATTGTTATTTTACCTTTGAAAGATGTCCAATTTTGTGATTTGTGAAGCTGTATTGATCGTAGTTAACCACTATTTGTGCATATTTTATGTAGTGCGTTAAAAACCCCACCGACTCTTTTTTCAAATTCACCGCCAAAAGATTACCGATACATATAATGGCAATGCTCATAGGTTTCTTGAATTTTCATCCTTAGGACTGTGATTGTTTAAACAGTGTAACTTATTTCTTCTGCTATATTTTGATTCCACAATTTTTAATCATTTTTTCGAGGTTTTTGGTATCTTAATTTGTTTCTCTTTTACGTAGAAAACTGGCCGTGAATAGTGAGTATATGATGTATGGGTGTAAGACACAGCTAATTTTTTGTTAAATTTTTTTCACTACTAAGTATGATGATCTCTTGGTATTTAGATCATTGTTTACGATAATGTTTACGAATATGCTAGTTTGGTTAATAATTCATTAAGTTATTGATTTATGGAGCACAGGAAAGTGTGGATTGCAAGTATTGTGAGCACCCCAATAGCTTTTGTCATTCTTGGTTAATATTTTTTGGGGGGGGAAAAAAGTAGGAGTTTCAATAACGATGTCTTTTTGACGATTTTAATCCTTAAAATCTGTACAATCTCTGTTTTACACTTATGTTCGCATAGAACTTTTCATTCCTCTGCGTTGCAAGTGGAACATAGGGCTTAAAGACAGCTTTGAAGTTTCAGTAGCAGGGATGTTCTTTGTTACGGGGTGGGATTGCTAGTCAGTCTCATGACCAACCTTCCCTCTTTGTCGGTATGATAACCGGCTGAGGGAGGTAAATGTGTGCGTCGGCCAGCACTCTACCGTTGAACCACCGACTCACCGAAGGTTAAAGGAGATGACAATTTTCAAATTGGTATCAATTAGCTAACAAGGGGGGTATAGGAATAAAATAATGTAGAATTATAAAATTAGGGGCAACGTGGAGACAGGCATAAAGTGGACCCACACAAAAAAGAACTCGGAGGATCTGGACTTCGCCGATGATATATGCCTGATTTCCCATAAACTGGAAGATATGCAAGTGAAAAGAAACAAGTTGGCAGAACAAGCATCAAAGGTAGGAGGGACTTCAGGTGAACATAGACAAAGCAGACGTAGGTTATGAAGATTCGTGACCAATAGCAACACCACCAACAACGGACAACAATCAGTGTGAATGGGAGAAATCTGAAAGAAGCAGCCTCCTTTACCTACCTGGTAAGTATTGCTCCAACTACAGGCGGGCGAAACTGATGAGGATATCAAAGCGAGGAACATCGGGAAAGCAAGGCTAACTTTCATTACTCTCAAGTCTGTGTGGAGATCAACAGCACTCAGCATGAAAAATAAGATCCGGATTCTCAACTCCAATGTGAAGTCAGTGCTACTATACGGATCAGAGACTTGGAGCTGCGTCACGAAGGCCACTTCGAACAAACTGCAGACCTTCATCAACAGCTGTCTTCGCTCAGTACTGCTCAAGATCAGATGGCCGGCCAGAAAAGATCAGCAACAGGGTAGGATCTCTAGCAATGAGCGAACCAACTCAGCAGGAAGCGATTATGCAACATATATGCAGGAAGAAATGGAGGTGGATTGGATTGTGGCCATACTCTGAGAAAACCAACCATCAAGTGAGTGGCATCACACGACAGGCCATTGCTCGAGTGGAACCCGAATGGGAAGCGGCGATTTGGTAGTCAGTGCGAGAGTGACATGGATGAGGTGATGCGAAGAGGAGATGAAAGCATGTGGACAGACGTGGAGCCAGGTGAAAACGTTGACGGAGAACCGGACGCAATGTAGACGTACGGTTTTTAACCATTTGTCCCACTAGGAACTAAAGGAAACAATGGTAATAAAATTATTTGCATATTATGTAAAATAATTTCTAACGAAGAGGGGTGTGAACGGGAGGTGCATTGAAACAAATTGAAATAGTGTTTTAACTGTAGATGGGAAGTGTAAAGGTTGAACTAATGTCTTCTGAACACATTCCTTCAGCTTTTTGATGCATATGATGAGGGCTTCTGCAGCTGACAACTGTCATCTTTAACCCCTCATCGTTATTATGTCGAATTAAATAATAATTTCAACTATGCGAACTTATGCATTGAAAATGCTATTGAACAGCTTTTGTAGATGAAATCTCCCAAAAGGTATCTTTGCTGGACTGCTTATTTTCCTGCTCTCTAACATATTTTTTGTAGACCATAAATGGGAATATCTTCGGGCAAAATCTTGCAAGAATGTATTTTTCAGAGAAATAAATTACTAACTGGTTTTTTGGAATGGGAATTAATGAATCTAAGGTTTCATCGCATAAAAAGTTGATAGCTAAACTTTTATAAGCACTTTACTGATCATTTTAAATCATTCAGCCTCTACAAGCTTTTATCGATTCATAGATGTACAGATATTAGCTAATGTAATTCCTTACTAGTCAAGTCCACCAGAGCCTCTATCGTCTAAAAAGCCAACTTAACGGAAGATAAAAATATGAATAACATCAATGTTTGTGGAAATAAGAAAATTGAAAACGTTACTGCGTATTTTAACTCAAGGAATAATGACCTGCGTGTCAAATCAACTTTGAGGCATACTTCTCTGAATTCTTAACCGTGGTTTTTGACTGGAATTTAAACAGGATATTTATACAATTCACTGATTCTTCTAATGATATTTAACTCTTGAAAGACTTTGTTCTGCATTTGATTACATTGCACAGCAAGATGGGTGAGTGTACATAGTTCACGCAGCAACAAACTTAACTGTCATTTATTGAGCTCATATTCTTTGTGCATTAATATTACTGAACACAGTTTTGATATCCGGATGGATGATACATATTCTGTACATAAGCCTTAAACGTAAAGAGCAACAGAAATGCCAGAACACTTGCGAGCGTTTACCAACAAATCACGCTTAGTTTTACTCATAAATAATTCACCGCACGTCCAAATGTTGCTAGTTTTATGTTGTCAAGTTATCTTTGCAGACATTGCCCCATCTCGGTTCCGCTCAATTTCTTATGCTGGGTGATTAAGATAAATAGGGTTAACTTTTTGAACACATTAATTGAGCATCTTTTTCATACTAAAAAAATATTTCCTGTGTCTAATTACCACTTCAAGTAAAAATAAGTCTTCAAGTGTTGGTTTGCAGGCATTTGATTAGTTAACGGATACGCCTTCATCAACCTGAAACCAGTTTGGAAGTCTTCTGCACTCCACCTCAGCATCACAAGGAACAAATGTTAAGTCAGTTAGCTCTTCTATATGTGTCAGAAACAAACCCAGCGTGTTGCGGAAAAGATTTCCGACAGTCATTTACAGACTTTTATCAACAACTGACGTCTCTGGCTCCATACTGAAGATTAAATGACTCGCCAGAAAGAATTAGTAACAAGAAACTCTAGCTGGTAGCAAACAAACCAAAAGACGATCGCTCAACAAATATGTAGGAGAAAATGGAGGTGGGTCGGGCATATGTTGAGGAGGCCGTCGAATGTCATCGCGCGCAATGTAGGCCGTCGCTCAAATGGAATTCCAATGGGAAACGACGAATGGGTCGTCAGTGACGTGGAGGAGATAGTGTGACAAAGAGTAGATGAGAGATTATTGTCAATCGTGAACCCATCTGAAGAGGACGGCAGCAAATAGGAGAAAGTGGAGATGTGTTGTTGAAGCCCTATGTTCCACTCGGAACCCAAGGGAATAATAATAAGAACGTCGGTTAGAAAACCTGGGAGTACTGAATAGCTGCCCTGTCCTATTTTAGGACTTCTCAGCAGTGCTTACCCACCGGGGTTCGAACCCAGGACCTACCAGTCATCAGGCGACATCGTAGACTATCAAGCCACTGGATCCGATCCAATGGCCCATGAATTCCAACTTTTGCCAATTCACAGTGTAGCGCGACCAGCTCACCTTGTTACCGGAAGTTCCTGGTTTCCAACTCCGGTGGCTGTGTACTGCTAAAGAGTCCCAAACTAGGATGGGACAGTTGTTCAGGTTTTCCAATGGCTTTCTAATTGATGTCAGCTCATGATGAAATCCTCCAAAAAATAAGTTTAATCAACTAGTTTTGTGGTGTATTATATTTTTCTACCCTGAAATGTTTGTACTAGACGATTAGCAGAACAACATAAATCCTTTATTGTACAAAGGGATGATGTCTCATCAAATAGCTTGTGAAAAAGTAAACTAAGTACTGCTAAATCATGTTAGTTTGCGAAAAAGTGTGCAGCAAGTTTACGTCTTTATCAAGGAAGTTAGATCTGTCTAAATCAAAGCACTATTCTAAGGGGAATCCCGTAAGAGTTAATAAAATTTGCTTGCTTGGTTTTGGTATTGACGATATAAACTTACCGTAAAATGTTTGTCTGTCTGTTTTCGATATAGAACTTTGCACATATGTGCGGCAGTTCAAGTCACCACACTCCATGTAGCACACAAAGCAAGAGAAGAAAGTAGGAGAAGTGCATATTAGAGACAGTAAACAGAGGTGTGAGACAAATGTATAGTAATAGCGTCCTTGCCTAGAAGGACTATATCGTCTGCATATTCTAAGTCAACGAGATTATTCCCTGGTAGCAAGCCAATCCCTTAGTCTCTGAAGTGAGTTAGGGTTAAGTCCATTAGTACGTCTATGATGAAATTGAATAGAAATGGGGATAATGGGCATCCTTGACGGACGCCACTAGTTGTCGTTACTTCAGATAACAACTCGCCGTAAGCCCTCACCTGGCTGCATGAGTATGAGTAGAGTGCCTTAGTCAGTGCAATGTATTTTCTTGGCATTCCCTTTACAGCCAAGCATCGCCAGAATACCTTTCGATCGACAGAATCGAGTGCCGCCTTTAGGTCAAGAAATATAATGATTGTTGGAAGCCGGTAGGAGTGCCTATGTTCTAGAATCTGTCGGAGGGTGAAGATATGATCAATACACCCTCTTCTTGGCCTAAAACCTGCCTGGTTTTCTCGTGTTTGTGCCTCCCGAGCACCACTTAGTCTACGCAATATTATTGAGCCTATGACTTTAGATACTATACTAGTCAAGCTAATCCCTCTGTGATTATCACAAGAAGACTTGTCTCCGTTCTTGTATATCGGGATGATCAGTGACTTACTCCAACTCGATGGGATTTCCTCTGATTCCCAAACACTGCCTAGAACCTCAGTTAATGCAGACAGTAAACTGTCTCCACCGTACCTAAATACCCCTGGAGTCATTCCATCAGGTCCCGCTGCTTTGCCATGCTTCAGATTAGCGACAGCTTTAGTAACCTCAGTTAAGGAAGGAGGACCTGTGTCTATATCCCATTCAAGGAGGTGTTGGATGTTCGGCAGGTTAAGTGTGGCTGTAGGCCAATTAAACTGCTCCTCAAAGTGTTCTTTCCAGCGCTCCAGACGTCTATCCTGGGAGCTAATTATGGTTCCATTTTTCTCCGAGATTGCTTCGCTTATCATTTGCCTTTTGCCACCTGTTTCCCTGATAAACCTGAATAGTTGTCTGGTGTTTCCAATCGCCGATGCCTTTTCCATCTCTTTTGCTTTTGTCGCCCACCACTGTTCACGGTCCTTGCAAAGACTTTTTGTTAGTCTTCGTTTAAGTACCTTTCGCTCCTCATTATAATCGGAGCTCGCTGGAATCAGTCTTCTTGCGTCAATCAGTTCGGATGAGGCGGTAGAGATCCAGTGGCTTTTATTAACTTTAGGTTTTGGCTTATAGACAGCTTCCACAACTGTGTCTACCGTAAAATGATTAAATAAACATGTACCTAAGAATATGTTTAAAAAAGTATACATTGTGATAAACAGTATCACTTGTATCAAAACCTCTTCTTCTCAAATAGATTTCTTGGTTTAAGTTATTTTGACAGAAAACGTTATCCTAAAAAGCAAAATCCAAAGAAAATTTGCCTTTGATGAAATAATTAATTGACCTCATGTTAACTTTTTTTCTTTTTTCTTTTTAGGTATTATTCACGCTCTAAAGCAATTAATTCACAACGGTTGGATTAACAGTCGGTGGAATTTGATCAGTGTTGATTGTGATCATTTCGCTTCAGAACCATGGGAGAAAAATTTCGCTTGTTGTTATCGTAATGCACAATGCATACTTTCTGCGTTATTTCGAATTCCTGAATTTAGGAAACGTCTTTTTGGATGTGAGTTATATGCATATATTTTAAAATTTAATTATATATGAGTTCATGAATTTCTACAGAGCTGTATAACTTAGTTCTTTTTTTGGATGATATGTGATCTCTTCAGAAACAGTGATTCATGTATTCATATTATGGTAGACGATATATGTATGGTACGTTGCTATGCCACGCAAATATGCAAGCCTTTGTCTTTGCTTCAACTAGAATTTGGTCACTAGATACGCATTTTTTTTGTGAAATTTACGTGGTTGCTCTCTAAAGTGCTGTTGTACAAGTCTTCTGGAATCTTTCTTGCTGCATCCCTTAGGTAACTAGATGAATACCTAGTTGTGTGGCTAAACAACTACCTTTCCAGTATAAGCTTTGCATGTATTACAAACGTTTAAAAACGCTGGATTCAGAAGTTTTTCATTTTAGTGCCTTACTTGTGTGTTATCGCAATTAGTCGTATGAAAATAAATAGATAAGATAAAATTAATATGTAACTTTAAGGTGGGATTATACCAAAGTACAAGGAAATATTTGTTAGCGCAGTTTTTGAAGATTAAATCTATCCGATATTAATTCAGAGAAAATTATTGCCCACACACAGTGTGAAAATTCAAGGCAACTATTGTATCATTACCACTGATTTGAACATTGAATCGTACGACAATGTTTGACTCCGGTTAAATACCTGACTTGCCAACACCAAAACTGCACCGATTATTGACTTGAAACGCGTATGGATTCTAAGCAAACAAAGTCTGAATGAAAATCAGCTTATTGTTTTGTTCAAGCCATTTCCTGCGAGTGTTGTCTGTCTGTTTTCAACGTAGAACTTTGCACCGATGTATGCATCAGTTGAATCCATGTAGCACACAAAGCAAGAGAAGAAAGTAGAAGAAATGCAAAATAGAGACAGTAGACAGGTATATGAGGCAAAAGGAATAGTAACAACGATGAACAATATAGTTTCATTTAAAATCATAAGTCACAAGGAGAGTGTGCATCTGTGCCATTACGGAGAACAATTTTGAGCCATATTACCGATTGTCTCCAGCCACGGGTGTTTATCGTCTCGAGGACCCCAACCACTCAGGAGGTCTACACCTTCCTACGCGACCGTCTTAAACTAATTGTTGTGGATTTCATTGACTGATGAGGCCATGTTTTGGTTTGACCGCCGCTAGCTCTCTTCCAACCTAACCCTGTGTCAGCTAACATTGCCCGTAGTCGAGGAAGGCAATGGATGGCTAGGCATGCTTGTGTAACACGTGTCCTGACCATCCCAGTCGATGTAGCTTCACAGCCTCGTCGATTGATTTCCCCTCCCCTAGTTACCTAGCACTCGACTGATACCTAACCTCAATATTGCTCACCCTACTATACCACTTCACACGGGAGATAGAACGCAGGCACCTGTGATCAAAGACAGTTAGCCTTTTCATGTCTTACACTTTCAATGGGCATGTGTCACTCACAGCCAGCCACAAAGGAGGACAGAGCGAACTGCTGCTGAGCAGTACACACGTCCTTTAATCGATAGCCAGCCGATATCACGTCTACTAAGCCAGAGGCGGCGTAAACTGGTCTATGCGAAACTAGCCTTCTGTATCCGTGCTGAGATTTCGTCAGCGATCAACTCGTTGACGCTGGCTGATGCAACATCCCAAATAAGTGAAGTGGTCTACCACTTCACTCCCTATTTCTAAGCTGGTAGTCAGTGTAGTCCAGTCATTCCTGTAGCATCATCTTACATTTGACAGCACGAGCGAATCGCATGCCAAATATTCTCAGACTGCAACTGGAGGTGTTCAGAAGACTCTACAATTTGTCAGCGTCTTCACCTAAAAGGACTATATCATCTGCATATTCTAAGTCTACGAGACTATTCCCTGATGGTAACAAGTCAATCCCTGAGTCGTTGAAGTGAGTTAGGGTTAAGTCCATTAGTACATCTATGATAAAATTCAATAAAAATGGAGATAGTGGGTATCCCTGACGGACACCGCTAGTTGTCACCACTTGAGGTCAAAAAATGTAACGATTGTTGGACGTTGGTAAGTATGCCTATGTTCTGTTCCAGAATCTGTCTAAGGGTGAAGATCTGATCAATATACTCTCTTCTAGGTCTAAAGCCTGCCTGGTTCTCTCGTGTTTCTTCCCCCTGAGCACCGCTTGGTCTACGCATGATTATTGAGCCTGGAACTTTAGATACCTACCATATTAGTCAAGCTAATCCCCTGTGATTAGCACAAGAGGACTTGTCTCCCTTCTTATATACAGGGATAATCAATGACTTACACCAACCCGATGGGTCTTCCTCTGATCCCCAGATGCCGCCTAGTACCTTAGTTTACACAGACAGTAAACTGTCTCCACCTTACTTAAATACCTCTGGATGCCTGTATCGTGACGAAATTGTAAGTCCAGTAACCGTCACTTTTTATACACTTCTAAAATAATTCTCGGTATAGAGTTGCATAATCGTCTCATTTCAAAATTATTCAAGTTTTTTATCGTTGAAAATAAACAAGTTACTTTGTGTAAAATAATTCATTGTTTTTACACTAGCTACTTTTCTGAACACACTCCAACAGATTCATCAAGCTTCACTCATTTTCAGTTGAATAATGTAGAGCTCTGAAGTTTCTGGTCAAGTAGGTTATTTTGGAAATGTTCCAGCTAGCATTCTAGAAGTCCTTCGAAATCTTTTATCTCTTTCTTAATCTTTTGGTGGCTTCAAGCCAGTATTGCTTTAATAGCTCCTGGATCGTAGTCTGTATGAGAATGTTTGGTTTTTTGTGTAAGGCACTTGAACAATTGATTGTTCTGGTTTTACATCGAAATGATGAATTATCAGACCTGAAAAAAAGCCTTCAATAAGCCACTGTTTATTAGTGTAACGTTGTGTTTGAACCTGTTAGAGTAGTCTTTCCGTATATTTACATTCTGTCGCGTGTGTGTGTGTGTGTCTGTAGCTAATAATTATCGTCAATATTATCTGAATGAGTGATAGACTCTAAAACATGGTAAGAAGTCGGAGGAATTTCAGAGGAGAGACAACAGTTCATATAACGACAAATCAAGAATTTGGCAGCAACAACATACGAGAAAAACAGACATCTTTTGTTGATGATTACCCTTCAAATATTTTCAAGTACAACCACCTCAATTACAAAGATTTCGATGTATACTACTACTTAGAGAGCTAGTCAAGATTCAACTTCATAGAACCAGGACATAATTTTTAATTTGATTACAGCTTGATGCCACACCGTATTTTCAGTACAAGTATTGAATTTTCAGCTTGGATATCGGTAGCCCAAATTTTGCAGGCCGACCATAGATATCGGGTGTGCGTCGGCAGGGGATCGAACCCCGGACCATGTGCATGGTCAGCGAGAGTCCTAACCACTGTGCCACCGACGCACAATACAGGTCATATTGTGTACAGGTCAAGGTCGCAAATAATGGATAGGGATACGTAAAGGTGTGGGCAAGAAAGAGAAAAAAAGAGAAAAAACAAAGCAAGGTAGGGGTTGAAAACATTATGAAGTAAATTGGTCCTTGGTTCTAAATTCGATTAACAAGGCAGGTTTAAGGTAATAACAAATAACTTTTGGACACAAGACAGGTTTAAGTCTTTTTATGGCCAAGGCTTCTCAGTGTTGGAGAAATCCAAAGTTTTTGAATTTGCCTACTGATTCATAGTCATATACAAGAGGAATGTACAACGTAGAAATCATTAAAGGAGGGGATGAAAAACGATCCAAATGAAACTTCGCGAAACCAACTTGTATCCAATATTCTGCTTGTTTGGAGTTTTCTTCAGTGGGGAAAGCGGAGAAGGGGAAATAAAACTGGTAATTTTATGAAATGTAAAATGAGCAGTTAGGCTCCGTGAGTTACTAATCACCCAACAACCACTATAGACAAGAATTCTGCATAACATTATTGAGTCACATGTTTGGATTTTTTGAGTTGGTGGATTTTATCCTTATTTTCGTGTTATTTATTGCCAACTTGATAGTGTATATCACATTGTTTATTATTTGTTTGCAGCCCTTTCAGCTATGCCATCCGTATGGAAATTACAGGCACTTTTAGAATCTGCTTGGTCTCTTGGCTTCGATCCACTTGGCGCGTCTCAGATATCTTCAACACTAAATTTGAATAGAATTACATCTGGTTGTCGTCTTATAGATTCTACTGTTGGCAGCATTTCTACAGATGATCGTAATCTTGTTGGATTGGTGGATAGTACTGCATGTTTAGGTGCTACCGATATGGTTTCTCTCTTTGGATCAATAGGTGTACGTTCATCAATTATAGAATGTCGTTCTCCTTCAGGACCTGGTGGAACTCATCCATAGTAAGTGTGTTTCTATTTTCACGCAAAATTGTAACTAACATTAATAGCTCTTGACAGTTTAGAGCTGTTTTGTTTCAACAATGTGCTTCACGATTGAGCAAAATAGCCGTCTATTCTCACCATTAGAAGGTGCTAGAGACTGAATCTATGTTTGAAGTCACTTAAGAATATGCCCTGAAGCACCCCCTTACTTTCATAGACCAACGAGTCCTCTGTATGTATGTTTGTCTGGCCTTCTTGTTGACAGAACATCAAGCAGTTATAAGCTGTTGTCTTTCTCTACTTCATATCTGAATTCTGTTTATGGTGAGCTATGCTGTAAGGGATTTCAGCATTCATTTCATTCTTATGCCTGCATCATAAAGGCATATTTAAACCAACGCCACCTCTTTGCAACCATGTTGGGTAATGTTCTCTAACTTGTTTTTTGATATCACTTCACCTGTCTGTGCGGAATTTGGTACACATAGGTCATTCTATGCCAGTCCTATCAAAACATGTTATAGAACATTACGCAGCATGGTTGCAAAGAGGAGGCACTGGTTCAATAAAAAGCACCATAATTGAACCAATCGTCAACTGATTCATCGTTCACAGTCATTTACAAAATCAACAAAAAAGTATATTTCATGAGATCACGGTGGAAGCAGACCTTTGGACTATCTCTTAATTTCGTCAGATAACAGTTTTAGGTGGAGTATTTCCAACACTTACAAGTCTGTCTGTCTGTCTGGACTCAACATAGAACTTGGCACTGAAGTGCAACAGTTCGAATTGCCACGTTCCAAATAGCACACAAAGGTAGACAAGAAGATGAGTGAAGAGAATCAATAGAGTTTTGACAAGTATAAGAGTGAAACAGAATGAGTAATGGTAGAAAGGAGTATGACAGATTACAGAGACTGAATACATCTGCGCCATTGACAACGATTTTGAGCCATGTCACCTATTGTCTCCAGCCATTGATTCTTAGAGTCCCGAGGGCCCCAACCCGGAAGTCTGCATCTCCCTACCTGACTGGGTTTAACTGTCAAGGATTTCATGGATTGATGCCATGTTTTTGTTTGGCCACCACTTACTCTTTTCCAACCTGCACCTATATTAGCTAGTAATGCCTGCCGGGGGGGGGGGCGATGGTTAAGCATGCGCAGCACGTGACCTAGCCATCTCAATCTATGTAACTTTATAGCCTCGTCGATTGATTTTCCCTCTTTGCCCAACACTCTACGCCTAACGTCAACATGACTTACCTTTTTATACCACCTAACGTGAGAAAGAGATCGTAGACATGTATGATCAAAAACCGTCAACTTTTCATGTCTTCAACTCGTATTGGCCATGTTTCAGAGCCATGGAGAAAGACGGAGCGAACTGCTGAGCAGTACACACGTCCTTTGGTTGATAGCCGGATGTCACGCCTACGCCAGAGATGGTGTAAGTTAGCGAAAGCAGCCCGAGCTTTTTGGATCCGTGCTGAGATTTCGTCACCAATCAATCCGTTGGTGCTGATACAACTTCCCAAATAGGTGAAGTGGTCAACATGTTCCATCACTTCACTCCCTATCACTAAGCTAGGAGTTGACGTAGTCCAGTCCTGTAGCAGCATCTTACATTTCACAGGGGCGAATCGCATGCCAAACATAAGAAGATTGCTGCTCAAGGTGTTCAGAAGACTCTGCATTTTGTCAGCGTCCTCCCCTAACAGGACTATGTCATTTGCATATTCTAATTCCATACGACTATTCCCTGGTAACAAGTCGATTCCTAAGTCGTTAAGTTCAGTTAAGGATACTTCCATCAGCATATCTATGATGAAGTTAAACAGAAAGTGGACATCCCTGACGGACACGACTGGTTGTTATCAATTCAGATGACAACTCCCCATATGCCCTTACATGGCTACGTGAGTTTGTGTAGAGTGCCTTAATTAGTGCAAAGTACTTTCTTGGCACTCCCTTCACAGTCAAACATTGCCATAGAACCTCTCGATCCACGGAGTCGAAGGCCGCCTTCAAGTCAAGAAATATAGCAATTGTTGGACGCCTAAAAGTGTGTCTATGTTCTAGGATCTGTCGGAGAGTGAAGATATGATCTATGCACCATCTACCTGGCCTATAGTCTGCTTGATTTTCCCTCGTTTGTTCCTCCCGAGTTCTGCTTAGTCTGTGCATGATTACAGAGCCTAGGATTTTAGAGACTATGTTGGTTAGGCTGATCCCTCTATGATTATCACATGAGGACTTGTCTCCCTTCTTAAATATCGGTATAATAAGTGACTTACTGCAGTCTGATGGAACTGACTCTGATTCCCAGACGTTACCTAGTACCTTAGTTAATCTACCTACTAGTATGTCACCCCCATATTTAAACATCTGTGAAATAATTCCGTTGAGTCCTGCTGCTCTGCCTCGTTTCAAATTACAGATGGCTTTTGTGACCTCACTTCCAGACGGCGGACCAGTGTCTATATCCCATTCGGGTGTGTGCTGGATGGCGGGGAGGTTAAGTGTGGCTGTAGGCAAGTTAAATTGTTCCTCGAAGTGTTCTTTTCGGCGTTCAAGGCGTCTATCCTGACAGGTAAATAAGGAGCCATTTTTTCTCACAAATAGTCTCACTTGTGATTTGCCTTCTCCCACCCATTTCCCTGATGAGTCTAAATAGTTGCCTATCGTCGATGCTTTTCCATCTCTTTGGCCTATGTCACCCACTACCATTCATAGTCCTCACAGAGACCTCGCTCCTCATTGAATTCGGAGCTCGCTGGAATAAGTCTTCTAGCATTTATCAGTTCGGATGAGGCAGTTGTAATCCAATGGTTTTCACCCACCTTTGGATTTACCTTATTCACAGCTTTTACAACTGTATCTATGGCTGACTGAATATTCTTCCAGGCTTCTTCAGGGTGAGCACAGCTGTCGAACTCAGATATGTGTTTAGCTAGTTCTTCCTCAAATAGGGACTTAGTTTCCTGATGGATCTGGGGACGTGACGGGTTTACCGCCAGGTGTTTCCTACGTCCGTTCAGTCGTAAGCGCAAACGAGTGCGGACCAGTGCGTGATCGATATCTTCACACGTGTTCTAGAAGGAGCGACAATCTCCTACCGACCCACGCCAACGATAGCTTATTGCTATGTGGTCTATTTGTGTCCACCATGTATATATATATATATATATATATGTCCTTGCAGTTCAACCGAGATGCAGTCAGTTGATTGCTGTTTTAGAAACTCAGGAAAATATTAGCCGTGTGTACAATTCACCAACCGTGGTATCATTCCAGTGAAAGTGGAAGATAAGGTACCCAATCTGACCAATTCAGTGTGATTTATAATTCCAGTTGTTCTTGTTGAGCAGTAGTGTAGGCCAAACGACTCGGCAAGCCCACCATCATCTTCTTAAATATTGTCGAACGTGGAATCACAAAGCCTATTAAAAGCTCAGTACAGGCACATCTAGTAGATGAGAAGAATAATACTGTTAAAAATAAAGCTCTCAACATCCTCTCTTAGGTGTATCTACTTTATAATGACAAAGCGTAGCTGCAAAAGTCGCCATCAACAATGTCCAACCTAATCTCTATGTTCTGAAAAACGTGTGTCCAGTCGATATCTCTTTCTCCCATGGCCTTTATCTTCAACTGAAATACAAGTAGAACAGTTTTCGTTTTCTAAATGGTGTCGTGTAACTTAGTGTTATCTTCATTATCCTTATCATAGTCTCTCGTAGTGGTTTATTTTAATCATAGCTTCGCAATCTAAATATTCTATCACTTATTTACTGTAAGACAGTAGGTATTTTTCCTCTCCACCCTATACACATAAACATTCAGCTTACATATCTGTCGGGATTGACTACCTGGAATATGTAGACATTTGCATGAAGCTATAGTCATTATTGATGGCGCTATCGCTATCACCTTGGTTATTATCTATTAATTTATTCACTTCAACTTTGATGTTGTTAATCATATTGGTGCCAACTGTCTGTGCTTAATTTTATTGTGTAATTGTAAAGCCTGATGAGAAATTACTGGAAATACTTATTTGTCTAGATTGTGTTTTGCAGTTAGAATAATAATTATTTTTATTCCCTTGGGTTCCGAGTGGAACATAGGGCTTCAACAACACATCTCCACTTTCTCCTATTTGCTGCCGTCCTCTTCAGATGGGTTCACGATTGACAATAATCTCTCGTCTACTCTTTGCCACACGATCTCCATCTCACCCTCGCACTGACGACCCATTCGTCGTTTCCCATTGGAATTCCATTTGAGCGACGGCGTACATTGCGCGCGATGACATTCGACGGCCTCCTTAACATATGCCCTATCCATCTCCATTTTCTTCTACAAATGTGTTGAGCGATCGTCTTTTGGTTTGTTTGCTACCAGCCAGAGTTTCTTGTTACTGATTCTTTTTGACCGGCTGGCCATTTGGTTTTCACTATGGAACCATTGAGGGTAGCTGTTGATAAAGGTCTACAGTGGCATGTTGGAAGTGCTTTTCGTGACACACTTAGTATGTTTCTGACCCGTATAGAAAAAGTGACTGACTGACTTCACATTGGTGTTGAACAGAATCCGAATCTTAGTCCTAGTTATGCCGAGGCGAAGTGCAGAAGATGTGCAAACTGGTTTCGGGTTGATGAAGGCATGTGTATCTTGCCTTTCCGATTCTGGCTGGTTGTCTTTGACATCTTTTTTCGTACCGAATGGCTGTGGTGGAAACCGTGCTTCCTACCCGGATAAGTGAAGGAAGTAACCTCTGTCAAATCTATCCTGTTGGTGGTGATTGGTGCTGATTGTTGTTGTTGCTGTTCGTTGGTTATCTTCATCACCTCCGTTTTCTCTATGTTTACCTGTAGTCCTGTTTTCTATGCTTCTTCAGCCAGTTTGTTGGTTTGTTGAATCAGGTACTCAACTCCCAAACCTTGAGTCATAGATCTTTTACTGTTTTGTAGTTGAATTAAGAAGAAATTTCCTGCACTGTATATTGACTAT